GGCGCGACACCTTGATCTCCATCGTAGCATCATTGTCGTTACGCCATCTATTGCTTCTATGACTATCACTACCGCTTAGTGATAAGGTAAAGCAATTACAGGGCGTTTGCATTTCATACAATAAAGCCACAACCATATGGCTCCTGCCAGTTGCCGATAACTTCGGTTAGAAAACATGATCATCTCATACAATAAAATATAGCATCACATCTTGACCTAGCATCACGTCTTGACCATATCACATCACAACATGCCCTACAAAAACAAGTTAGACGTGCTCTACTTTGTTGTTGCAAATTTTACGTGGCTGCTACGGGCTGAGCAAGAACCGTTCTTACCTACGCATCAAAACCACAATGATAGTTCGTCAAGTTAGTGCTGTTTTAACCTTCGCAAGGACCGGGTGTAGCCATACTCGGTTCAACTAAAGTTGGAGAAACAAACACCCGCCAGCCACCTGTGTGCAAAGCACATCGGTAGAACCAGTCTCGCGTAAGCGTATGTGTAATGTTGGTCTGGGCCGCTTCATCCAACAATACCGCCGAACCAAAGTATGACATGCTGGTAAGCAGTATGACTTGTATCGCCCACAACTCACTTGTGTTCTACTCGTGCATATAACATCTACATATAAAACCTGGCTCGGATGCCACTGTTGGGAACGTAGTAATTTCAAAAAAACTCCTACGCACACGCAAGATCATGGTGATGCATAGCAACGAGAGGGGAGAGTGTATCTTCATACCCTTGAAGATCGCTAAGCGGAAGTGTTTATCAACGCGGTTGATGTAGTCGTACACCTTCACGATCCGCCCCGATCAAGTACCGAACGTACGGCATCTCCGCGTTCAGCACACGTTCAACTCGATGACGTCCTCGCCTTCTTGATCCAGCAAGACAGGCGAAGTAGTAGATGAGTTCCGGCAGCACGACGACGTGGTGACGGTGTTGGTGAAGAACAATCTCCGCAGGGCTTCGCCTAAGCACTACCGAAACTATGACGGAGGATAAACTAGAGGGGACAGGGTTGCTGGCACACGGCTTGGTGTTTCTTGATGTGTCTTTGGTGCTAGCCCTGCCCCTCTATTTATATGTTGAGCCTTGGGGTCGAAACTTGGAGTAAAAGCCTCCATAAAGTCGGTTTCACCCAAAAGGCAAGAGTCCTTCTCGGACTCCAGGGCCAGACGCCAGGGTTCCCGGCGTCTGGACCCAGATGCCAAGGACCCTGGCGTCTGGCCCCTGGACTCCGCAAAACTTCATTTTGCACTTTCCAAAAACCTTGTGGGCTTTCCCCTTTGGCCCAAATAATGTGTTCTCGTGCCCAAACATTTCGGGAAACGTCTGGAACCCCTTCCGGTGAATTCCGGAACCCTTCCGGAGACCAAACAACATTATCCCATATATTAAACTTCATCTCCGGACCATTCCGGAGTTCCTCGTCATGTCTGTGATCTCATCCGGGACTCCGAACAACATTTGGTCACCAACATACATTACTCATATAATACTATATCGTCAACGAACGTTAAGCGTGCGGACCCTATGGGTTCGAGGACTATGTGGACATGACCGAGACATTTCTCTGGTCAATAACTAATAGCGGAACATGGATGCCCATATTGGCTCCTACATATTCTACGAAGATCTTTATCGGTCGAACCGCATAACAACATACGTTGTTCCCTCTGTCATCGGTATGTTACTTGCCCGAGATTCGATCGTTGGTATGTCAATACCTAGTTCAATCTCGTTACCGGCAAGTCTCTTTACTCGTTATTTAATGCATCATTCCATAACTAACTCATTAGCTACATTGCTTGCAAGGCTTATAGTGATGTGCATTACTGAGAGGGCCCAGAGATACCTCTCCGACAATTGGAGTGACAAAACCTAATCTCAAAATACGCCAACTCAACATGTACCTTTGGAGACACCTGTAGAGCTCCTTTATAATCACCCAGTTATGTTGTGACGTTTGGTAGCACACAAAGTGTTCCTCCGGTAAACGGGAGTTGCATAATATCATAGTTGTAGGAACTTGTATAAGTCATGAAGAAAGCAACAGTAACATACTAAACGATCAAGTGCTAAGCTAACAGAATGGGTCAAGTCAATCACATCATTCTCCTAATGATGTGATCCCGTTAATCAAATGACAACACATGTCTATGGTTAGAAAACATAACCATCTTTGATTAATGAGCTAGTCAAGTAGAGGCATACTAGTGACATTAAGTTTGTCTATGTATTCACACATGTATCATGTTTCCGGTTAATACAATTCTAGCATGAATAATAAACATTTTTCATGATATGAGGAAATAAATAATAACTTTATTATTGCCTCTAGGGCATATTTCCTTCAACTATTCACGTGGATGCACGTGAAACCATGTTCATATTTGTATTTTCGCTTTTTTGCGATCTAACATATAGCTTAAAAATGTCTTATATTGTGAGACGGAGAAAGTACAGGTCTGGTCCTTAATTTTTTTAAACACTAGTAATTGGAGTCGCTCACATATACTCATCATACAAACGCACATATGCACACCTTATCTCTGTGAGCACCTCTGAGATATACCTTGAGATTGACAAAGTCATCACAGACGTCTCGTAGTCTCCTCCTTGCCGGAAATATTAAAATAAATGAAGAAAAATACGAGCACCGGTGCCAAGCCTGGACATAAACCCTTGGTAGGCTAGTTCCACCGTAAAGAGCCTAACCATTTGAGCTCCACTCAGTTCGTGCTTGGTCGTCAAACTTGTGGACGCAACTTTTAATCACTAAGGCATCTCCAATGCAGATCCTTAAACCGCCCGCATTCGTCCGGATCGAACGGTCCTCATGCGATTTGCCATCCAATGCGGTACGTCTGTTTTCCCGTAAAATGGAGATAAACCGGGATGGCTTTGCAAGCGTCTGGACTATTTCCACGTACGCGTCAGACACCCCGGACCCACCCGAAAACCTCACCCACGTGAAGCGGTTGCGGTGCATTCATGCCACTAGTCGATCAGAGCGCTAACACCACATTCATGTCGATCCAGAGCGGAGGTGACCTCTCACTGGTGTCGGAATTAAAGCGGCGTGCCAGCACGATCCACACCACACCACCTCGCTCCCGCTCCTCCTCACCATACCACCCTTGCCATGACCGCGAGCTCTAGCGCGTTGTGGGCTAGCCTCAGAATGGAGCAAAAGCACGAGATAGCCACCCTTGCGATCGGATGGCATGGCCGTTGTGCGCGGCGGATAGAGGCCAGCATGCTGGTGAGCTCACCGGAGGTCATCGACGATGAAGGAGGCCTTCGACAATGAGCCAGAGCCCCTCCTCGTGTCGGTCCATGATATAGCTGGCCAAATGGGCCGGTTTTTTCCGGCCGGTCCGTGAGCATGCCGGCACGGCCCGCCTTGGGCAAGGCACGACACTGGCTAAACTGACGGGCCTGGCACGTGGCACGCCCTGGGTCGTGCTTGGGCCTGGAGGCTAGGCACGCGGGCCGGCACGGTACAGCCCGATTACGTTTATTTTTTAATTTTTTTACATCTATATATGACCCAACATGTAAAAATAGGCCAAAAAACGCTCAGTGCGTCAAATAACAGGCTAAAAATATGCGGCCCACCGTGCTAAACGGGCCAACGTGCCAGCCCGTTTACTAACTAGGCCGTGCCTAGGCCTGGGGGCGCATCACGCGGGCCGGCACGGACGACCCGTATAGTAATCGTGCCCTGGCGGGCTGTGCCGGGCCAGGCACGATTATGATGGGCCGGGCTGGCCCGTTTAGCCAGGTATGCTTCACCATGGAGCAGGCACCATCTCGATTTTATTTGCCACTTCTAAATACTCCCTCCGTCCTTAAAAGAGTGTACTTCCAATTTATTGGAAAGTCAAACTTTTTTATGTTAGACCATATTTATACAATAATAGACCAACATTTATGCCATCAAATTAGTAGCATTAGATTCATGATAAAATATATTACCGTCATATACCTATTTGATTTCACAAGCATTAATATATCTTTGCATAAATTTGGTCAAACTTTAAGATAGTTTGACCCTTCAACAAAGTTGAAAGTACATTTTTTCAAGAACGGAGGGAGTATGCTATATGATGATCCAATGTACCAGTGCACCTCAATGGTTTTTGGCCTCTAGTGTACCAGTGCACCTCAATGGTTTATGGCCGTTTACCGTGATTGAACCACAAGTCACGAGGAGCACGCCACAAAGGCCATAAAGAAAAGAGTTCCAATCCTACCACCTGGGTTCATCAGAATTGCCAAGAAACATAAACAAGCTGATTTAAGGAATGAAGAAAGATATCATGTCTGTTAGAAGAAACCATTCTTTTTGTATAGAACTAAGAAAGAAAGAAAGAAAGCAATTGACGAAGGATGCCTGGAAAATAAAAATTCTTGCACATTCAGACATTTGGTAGTGTCTAAATTTGTTGTATGCAATCAATTAGAGTCATCTGCTCATGCTGCCGTCGAGCTTGGTTACATAAGAATTAGAGTCATGGTTCAAGCTGAATACTGACATACGTTGCACCCTTCAGGCCCATGTCAAAGCCTCGGAAAGTTATATACTACTCCCTTCGTTCACAAATATAAGATGTTTTGAATATTGCAATATTCACTACATACGGACTGAAATGAGTGACAAAAGACACAAAGTATTTATATACCTTCAATTCAAAAGAAGATAAATTATCTTATATCTGTGAACGGAGGAAGTACTACTTAGACAACAGTTTTAGAATGATAATGAGATTGAGAGCGTTAATAGACAAGGATCAGCATCTGTGGTGGACAAATCACACAAATCGATAACCATCTCGACAAACTGCAGGAGAATGGATGCTCGTCTCAGCGCACCTGCACAGTGAATTTGCACAGAAGACATCAGTGCAGCTCAAGCTCAACTTCTATCCCTATATGTGTTACAAAAGCTTGGACTAGTAAGATATTATACCTTCCAGCTCTGGTATTCATACGTGCTTAAGCATCTTCAGGACAGTCGATGCAGCAGTGCCAAACAACCTTCTGGACCGATACTTACTTGTGGGCGTCGGTTTACTTGCTACTCTCACTCTCGGATAATTCCTCTCCAACGTGCCAAGAAGGATATGAGAGTGCCTTTCAGCTCTCAACTTCTCGGAGCCCCCATCACTAGTATACAGCGGCAACTCTTTCTTCGGTGTGTAGGGCGGAAAGATCTTCGTAATAAACCGAGCTGTCAGCACTGATCTCCATACCGGGAAAAACTGATCTCTTGCATACAGGTGGTTAACTCGTCGTTCCTTTGCCACAGCCTGGTTAACATGTACATAATCAAGATATCAGCGTCAACAACACACACATAAAACATACATATACCATTTAGTCTGCAAAAAATCGTGTGCTTAACAGCAGGTGCAGACTGTACAAACTACAAGCCCAAGATCCTAAACTCACTTAGACCGGATTTCCCTCTTCTTCTTTTTTTGTTAATTCAGAGTACAAAAGGGAACAAAAATGGCATGTGTGTCTTATGCATAAACTTTTACTACAACAATATAAGATCATTTGCACAACATCAGTTATCCAGATAAAAACTAAAACAAGGGTTTCAGCTCTAGCCATCAATGAACTCTTGAATTTGTACACGCAACACTAAATTATGGGATAATCCGTGAAATTGTAGCCTGAAGACTTGAATGTGACTCTCATCATACAAATGAATATTAAAACATTTTTATCAGTCTCAGCATGTAAACATCAGAAAGAAATTAAAACAGAAAACACAAAATTCATAAAAAACGATAATCAGCATCCAGCAAAATAAGAGATAGAAAAATCGAGAGGAACTCAACTTCAAATATCCTTACATTTTTCTCCTTGACTTCCGGAGTAGGTGATCCAGTGGCTGCCTTGGTCAAATCTGTGTCCCCTGTTTCCCATGACAGAATTAGTACAGCCTATTTTGCGAAATTTGTGAAGTTACTTTAAAATACCAGGCTGTGAAACACAGACGTACCGTGTTCAGGTAACACACCGTCCGGCCCTCCACAGTCATAGGGGAAGCTTCAAGAGCCTGTGAAATAAAGAATCAAAATATTGTTAAGTAATTATCTACAGATACAAGATATAGCAACCATATAGAAGCACAAGGCATGAAAAAATCGAACCATTGAAGGTCTTCAATGCAAATATCTTTTCCGAGAGGACCAACGTCATAACTTTTGAGAACTGCTGAAACTTTTCCATGGACCTCGTGATGAGATGCCTGCATATTATTCTATAAACCCAGTAACAAAGGTAATTAAGTTTGACTTGTTTCGATTTACTTGATAAGTGTCCAATCGTACTCAACTCATGTGCTATGTTCTAACCTGTTCCATAAACCCAAATGGCCTGGAGTGCCAAAGACTTAAAACACTAGACTAGCAGTCTACCACTACAGATCTCAAATGTGTTTAACAGATAGATACCAGTACACTTGTATCCGCAATCTTATTAAATCTTCAGGGTTTGAGCTCATGGTGATGTCGATGCTTAGACATGGATGCCCATGAAAAGTAGTTGAGTTGGATCAAAATATCTCCGTGCGTGGTGAAGATGTGGGTGATTGTGACTTTGAAGATGATCATTCATATCATGCTCATGGTGGTGAAGAGAGTAATGGGTTGAGGAGCGCTCCAATGAGTTAGGGAGTGGGATGATCATCAGAATGGCTTTTACTAATTGGGTTATTTTCCTGCGATGCCATGCTTGCTACTATCTTGTATTAGTTATCGGTCTATCAACTTACGCAATAAACTTATGCTAGTTGATAATTGCTGCGGTGCAATTACATTAATGCCAGTTGTTATTTATGTGATTGGACATTGACCAGACTCGCTACAGAACAGTGACAAGCAAACACTCTTCTTATGCCAGACTATTGGCCATGTTTGAGTTTTGGTGACACCAACATTTGGTAAGATTGGTATGGTCAAGCAATCAAGTATCTCAAAATAAATAAATAAATTATAGTAACAACAACCTTTTTCAATCAGTAAATAGTACCAAACTAGAATATGGAACTAGTTGCATCTATGGCTTACCTCGAATAACCGATTTAGTACTATAACTTAGGGAAATACTGATAATGCACATTTTCAGGAGATATTGATTATAAAGATGTCATAACAGAGAAAATCCAAGAAAAAAAAAGATGTCTGATGACAATGACGATTTGGTAAAACAAGAAGAAAAAACAGCCAGATACTCTGTTCGGCAGATCCCATGCCTTGCAAGTCAAAAAGAAAAAACTCTGTTCTTTTTGTTGTGGTTGGCAAGGGAACTGTTATATAATATTTTCTCACTATGATCAATACTTTAAGGTTCAAAAGCCAAACCATGACATACTAGAATATTAAGATTCGGTAAAACAAGAAAAAACAAATATATGCATCAAATGAAAAGGTGGTACCTCTGAATGAGTTTGAATATATGCATCAAGAGCTTCACCAGCTTTCAGAATTATCCTAACAAGGAACAACACATTATAGAAATGTACTTCCTTCTCCTTCCGCTGCTTTGCTTCCTTGGTATTTTTACCAATTTGCAATCCACACCCCTCCCTTATCAGGGAGAATATAGAATCATCAATACGGTTCTTGATCATATCAAAACCATTGAGCTTACGGAATCGCCTTTGAGCTGCAAGGAGAAGAATAGCTGCAGGGACAATCTTCCCATGCTCGATGTAATTCAAAAGCTCATCGACTACATTATCAGTGTGAGCTGCAAGCAATCTAGTGGTGTCCAAGAAGATCTTCTGCATAAGTCACAAATACAGAACAGCTTTCACTTCAAGTGCTTATAGTTAGGGGTGCAGCGCGGCGCCCGATCCGCCCCGCTTCGTATACAAACTTGGACAGTTTAGTTTTAAATTGAGATTGAGTGGATTAGCTTAAATTGTATTGACATTCGACTTATGCGGGTCTAACCGGGACGCCGTCCTGCATCCCTACTTATAGTATACATAACATTGACATCAAACTCTACCAGCAAACAAAATCAACTTAAAACTTATAATTACAGAGAAACTTGACTCATTTCCCATTGATCAAAGAAAAACGGTGCCTCCTGTATTATGGACATAAATACATCAGATGTTTTCAAAGGTAAACTGTCCATCTCACAAGTTGAACTATACAAAATCACAGATTGTCAGTTCTTAAGCACTGTTAAGAATGGTGGATTTAAATAACTGGGATGAGCTGAACTTCTTTATTGCTATCATGTAACCAAAGTATGTAAGGAGGGATTTAACACGAACCATCTCAGGCAGGCAAAGCAGATGTATGAGCTTGTAGATGTACCCAACATTCCCCTTCCTGTAGTTCTCGTCAACTAATAGGTTGTCCTCTAGATACTTATGCTGGCAAGTGTTCTCGATGGCAACATGGAGTGGGAGGAGGCCCTCAATGATTTTATTACCCGAGGTGCGCTGATTGGCAGATGCGCCATACCGTAACAGTAACTCAACCATTTCAACGGAGAATGACTCTGCAGCTTGGTGGAGGAGGAAGTACCCAAAGCTGGTCATGTAGTTGGGGTTGGCACGTACCCCGCAGAGCTTAGGCGACTTGCCCTCCAAAACAAGATTAGCACAACGCAGGGCATTCTCTAGAATAATTAAGTCAAGGGTTTGTGGAATGATGACAAAACCAGAAACCAAGCACTCCCTGTACTTCTCGAAGATGCGGAGGAAGCGTGGAACACTATCCTTTTGGAGGACGGCCAACAAACGATCGCATATGCCATAATATTTCACGAGCGTTTCCTAGATGGACCAATCCATGTAGAAACAAAATGAAAGGCAATCAGTTCAGTTATCCAACTAACAAAGGCACTTTATGCCATTGAAAATTAGGAAAAAGTGCAATTTTTCATCCCTCGACTATTACATATGTAGCTTTCAGCACTAAACTTTTAAACCACCCAAAGTTGAGCCCTCCACTATGAATAGTTCAATACCGAGCAACTCTCATAATGGTTTCGAAAACAATTTCGAATTACATGGCGCCTACATATGTAGGTCACATCGCCACCATATGTCAAGCATGTCACAAATTTTCTATGTGATATTCCATATGTTTATTACAATATTTGAACATAAAATCTAAATTAAGAAAACAAAAAAATTGCAAGAGAAAACAAATGTCTCCCTCCTATTTTTTTCCGTAAAGTTAAGTTATTTCTGCAGTTTACACTTTAGAAGTTCTTTAATACAAAAACAGATGTGATTTTTGGGAAGTTTTTCTCTAGAACATTTCTTGTTTTCTAACTTTTTAAAGATGTCTTGAAATTATTACCAATTTTATGAATTGTTTTTATGGGAACTGATAGCGTGACGGAAACTGGTGGGTGATGTGGCCAACAGGTAGGCGCCAGCGCCACACCACTTGAATGATGAAAGCTGCACATTATTGATAGTTGAGGGAGCAACTTCGAGACATTTTCGACTTTAGGGTTGAAAGTTACAATCAGATAATAGTTGAGGGATGAAAACCACATTTCTTTTATAATGTTGCAACATACAGGTTAGCTAGAAAAAATATTGAGAATATTAGTAAGATGCCAGACGATAGTCAATCTATCATACAAATGAACAAGTATTAAAAAAACCTTGGGAGTGCGGTCGGGGGAGATTATATTGGTAGCTCTGGCGTCAGCAAGGAAACGCTGCAGTTGAAGCATGTACTGTAAAATAAGAATTCTCAGTCAAGAACCACCACAAAAATAAGTGCAGTGAGAAGAGGGACGAAGTGGGATAGATGTATATCATTTGAGCAGGGGCTAGTTACTTTACCTCCCTCATATGTTGAATAGGACACGTCAAGTCAGCTAATGAGGGGTGAGGAGGAGGATGGGGAGGTTCCCACGGGTCATACTCGTCCGTGGGCGCTCCATCAGTGGTACCTTTACTATTATGTTCATGATGAAGAGCTTCCACCGCTGCAGTTCCGTGGACTGTTTGCAGTGACATTGGCTGAAAAAGGGAAGCATGAGATTGAATTACCATGCCAATCCAATTTGCCACTCTGCCGAGATGCCAAATTGTAGTGTGCTGCAGCTAGACAACATGAAAGAATGCAGAATGCTTGAATGAAATTCAGCAGAGGCTGTTGGGACCTAATCAGCCTTTGGTGCTAGTTAATTTACATATGAAGGAACAGAAAAGTAATCTTTGACCAAATGCAGCAGTGCAACAATAGATCGGAATAGTGTCGATATCTCAACTGGATCTTCCAAACAAGGTCTCTTCTTAAGAATTGGCTTAGCATACAGAAAAAAAGATCTTAACAATCTACGAGTTCTTTTGTTTTCTCTTGAGCTTTCGGATTAGCTTTCTTGAGCTGCCACTACTGTTTCTGTAAGCAAAATGCAACTGTTCTTCATTTTGGTACCTAATAGTAGAAAAATATAATAAATGTGCTTCTTTTACCATTCAGTGACAGCAGATTCCAAAGTTGACAGAAATTATTCAAAATTTGTTGAAAACTAGAAGGATTTGAAGTGCAATGTATGTGCTGATTAAGCATTGAACTCATGACGGCGTACAGATCTTACAGCCTACACAAACATATACACAAGGTTCCTCGGTGTATAACATATAGGCCAAGATGCATACTATTTTCATAATGGTTCAAGTTTCAGATACTTGCAGGCAGTATGCAGGTTGGAGAACCAAAGAGAGCTGGCCTTTAGGTACCTGATCTGGAGCGGTCGATGGGGCGGCTGACAAGGTAGACATTGGCCCAACGAGAGGCCGCAACACTGACCGCAAACAAGTTCTCAATGTCAGTAAAATTCTTACTAAGGTATACTGTACGTGCTACTGATGATTAAACAAAAGACGCAGCAGATAACCTGTCAGGAGAATGATGATTAAACAGAAGTATCACGGCCTGATGCAAATCACCACCAGTTGATGGCGACTAGGTGGAAGAAAATTCGCGATGGATTGTTCTGATAAAGGGAGCTTCGACTACTCAAATTCGCTTAACTCTTTGCGTTTGTTCGAAAAGGAAAAAAAAAAGGGATCTTTCTTCCTCTCTTCTTCTACGGGGATGGGAAGGCACGGCGCATCTAGGGTTCCGCTTCGGTTGAGGAGAGAGAGAGAGAGAGAGAAGAGAGAGGCCTGATAGTGATCGCCGGCGGAGAAGATGCCGACGAAAGGGGCGGCGGGGATCGATATCGCAAGCGGAGTACCTACCTGCGACGGCAGCTGCTGGAAATCTAGAGGACGTTTTTTTTTTCTCCACGAGGACGCTACGGTCGCCCGATCCAAGCAAGCGATGAGTCACCTCTCGAGCTGTCGGATCACATTGTACGTCCAGGATCAATTCTGGACTCGATCGTGGCCCCTCACACACTCATCTCTGTGCAATACCTCGCCTCGTGGATAACAATAGGGTTGGCTGCTAAAGATTAATGCTAGGCAATCATAAGAAAGGGGATTGCTACGCGTCGGCCAGCGAATCTTTTAAAAGATCAGCTTTGCGAGGCCGTCAGATCTGACTTATTAGTAGCCAAGCGTCATCCTTTACTTTTGCAACGAAGTCTTATTGCAGAAACATTTGCAAGGGTCTTCTTCCCCAACGCACCATGTAACGAAGCGCCCGTATATTATGTGATTTTGTTGAGATCCTTGTATAAATCCTGGCGCTCAGGGTATCGTCTATCGTTTGTTAATTTGCCGCGTTCCAAAAAAATAGCTGAAGCGTTCGAACACAACTTTCGCTGCAGCGCTAGCTATTTTCTTGGTTTCGGTTGGGAATTGAGCCAAAAGTTCAGGAATCGATTCTGGCGGCCGCTCTATGTGTCTGCGTTGTAGATGCCCTAAGAGTTTTCGCATGAATTTAATAGATTGATACACTTGGAAGATTTGGATTGGATATGTCGGTGTTCTGCATACGGGGTACCCAGACTTGCCTGCCTGCGGCTCATGGTGTGGCACCATCAACGGCCTGGTACGACTCAGTTTCAGCATCAGCAACTCAAGACCCTCATGAGGGGCCTTGCGACGCGGACGACGCCAAGACCTCCAAGGGGGTCGGCCTCCCCAGGCTGGCTCCCGAGGAGCGGAGACTTCTATGCAAGGTGCACCTCGCGAGGCTTAGCTGACGTGAGCCATGACGACCAAGGCCAGGTGGGCCGACACCAGCGGGCGCAGAGTACCAATTTCCTCTTCGGTGCAAAGGAGGCAAGCAGCAGGCGCGGAGTCCCGAGGAATCAGCCAAATATTTCCATTCTAGTGCAAGAAGACCAAGACCGCCACGACGACAGGATGGAGGTCATCACCGAGCCCACCGCATCGTCACGACCTGAGGCTTTTGCGAGCGAAGACCATTTTAGTCAGGATAGGGTGTACTTGTTGTCTCCCTTCAAATTTGGCCGTTGTGGGATCCCTTCCCGCCTACATTTGGGAAGAGGAAAAAGGCCGCTATAAATAGGACCTAGCCACCACACGGAGAGACGGAAACGGGGAGACAGGGACAAAGAGAGAAGGATCGGATCCATTCCACCCTCTCCACCTCACCAGCTCACTGGAGCTCAAGAACACACCTCCTGAGATTGTTCCCCACTATGCTAGTTCTTCCTCAGCCCCTCGAGGCAAATCCACCACAAAGCGGGAGTAGGGTTTTACACCGCAAGGAGGCCCGAACCTGGGTAAACTGTCATGTTTTTCCTTCCTTTCGAGATCGACGCGCTAGGCTGTGAGGTTTCACGAGTTGGCAGGTTGGGTAGGTCGAGATCTCTGCACGCACCTCAGAGTTCGAACCTATCAAGGGTTTGCGAAACCCGAAATCCGATATTTGGCGCGTCAGGTAGGGGTGCGTCGGATCTTCTCTTCCGTTGATCAATCCACTGCTACTCCGACACTTCCATAGCTGATGCACGTCGTGCTCATGCTGAGCGTTGGGCCGCAGTCGTAGCCCGCGTCGCTCAGACAGCACATGCAGGCGACGACTATCCTCGCCATCGCCCATCGCCAGTGGCGAATGCCACCACGGGCCCTACTGTCCACGAGCAGCAAGCTTCACCGCTGCACCCATCTGTGTGCCGCGACGGGCTCACTAGCACTCCATCGCTGACTCCGGCCGCTTCGTCCTCCCATGCGTGCCGTGGACCGGCGAACGCGCAGCCCGCTCTGCTCATGGCGCGGGAGTTCCATCGCTACTGTCCAGTCGACGACTTCTACGCAGAGTGGCTCCAACGCATCGCCGAGCTCGTCAGCGCCTCCGGAGACTCCGCTGTGCTGGCCCGCTTACTGCCTCAGTAGCCGCCTACTGCGCGCGATGTGGCTCACGGTGCACCTCCTCCACCTCCAGTCTAGGGCGCCATCGTCGAGCCGAGGTGGGCAGTGCCACGGTGTGACCCGCAACATCAGGCGCCCGCGAGTGAAGAAGCAAGTTGTCAAGTGGTGCAGCGGCCCCAAGAAGATGCCTAAGGAAATATGCCCTAGAGGCAATAATGAAGTTATTATTTATTTCCTTATATCATGATAAATGTTTATTATTCATGCTAGAATTGTATTAACCGGAAACTTAGTACATGTGTGAATACATAGACAAAACATAGTGTCCCTAGTAGGCCTCTACTTGACTAGCTCATTAATCAAAGAAGCTTATGTTTCCTAACCATAGACGTGTTGTCATTTGATAAACGGGATCACATCATTAGGAGAATGATGTGATGGACATGACCCATTCTTAACTTAGCATTATGATCGTTATAGTTTCATTGTTACTGCTTTCTTCATGACTTACACATGTTCCTCAGACTATGATATTATGCAACTCCCAAATACCAGAGGAACACTTTGTGTGCTATCAAACGTCACAATGTAAATGAGTGATTATAAATATGCTCTACAGGTGTCTCCAAAAGTGTTTGTTGTGTTGGCATAAATCAAGATTAGGATTTGTCACTCCGTGTTTCAGAGAGGTATCTCTGGGCCCTCTCGGTAATGATCATCAGTATAAGCACTGGTACGCGTCGGTGCTATACAAACGGTTTTAAACCCCTTTCGGCGATGGCATTCAGAACGGTCGCCTAGTGACTGTGGGCGATTAGGGGGTCCTTCGCACACGACCCAAAAACCGTCGGGGATATGCCCTCTTGGCACACACGCTCGGCAAAATGAGGTCGTGTACGACCGGCAAGCGAGAAAATACGGTTATACATATAGTAGTGCTAAAAAAATACAATTATATAGGCGAAATCATTTCCGGTCGTAAGTTCATCCCACACAGTCAGTCCCCACGAAACGTTTCTGTTCGTACATACATCCCACTCGCTGCAAGAAAAACGTTTCCGTTCGTAGGTACATCACACATAATTTTCCCCATTAAATCGTTTGTGATGGCCTTCGCATCACACACAATATTAATAATTTTATCGTTTGCATTATTGAATGCATCACACACGGTGTGTATAAGAAACTGTGTGCGTTGCCTTAGGTCATTGCCCACAATATTTTCTCAATAACCGTTTGCAATAGCAAAAACCAATTAGCGGGCTAATTACCCTATTAATAATCCATTTATTAATCTAATTGACATTCATATTAAACACATAATATATTTCATTCCCATATTAAGAAAGCATGATTTTATAATTGAAATACATTAGAGTACAACATGATATAGCTTCAGCACTCAGCTACCCCATTACACAACTGCACCAGCACCAAGTTTCACGTCCAACAACTAGAATATTTCGAAATTAGCATCATAGATGGTACATAGATAGATGCATCTTATCGAGAAAACTACTGAAGCGGAAGGCGAATATTGAGCATTCATTGATGTT